TTGTTGCAATCAAAAATAAACATTGGTACATGCAAACAACTCACTGATCTGTAGGTTCCCCTTTTGCAAGCTTCTCTGCACATGAAAAAGCTCCTTTATGAAGCCAGCAGTATGTGTCCACAGCCACTGTCTGTCCTCGATACTTCTTCACATGCATGGGCTCCGAAGCATCTTTGATAAACTGCAAGAGGCCCTGAATACCCATGTTGTCTGTCTGGAAGGACAGATGTCTGAGGAAGATGGTTTAAAAGAGTTCAGCCTGTCACCCTGAAATATGAAAATAAAAGTCCCTTATCATTTAAACACATGTAACGTTGCATATTAAAAGCATACTGTACACATAACGACGTTCACTGTTGAACATAAAATACGTCACCAAAATCAACGGAATAACCGTCCAAACGTGAAGACGTACGTAAAATAACGAACATCCATATACAAAGAGTTCTAATACATTTAGGCTAACGTTATTTAGTTTACTTGTGTGTCTGTAATATTTTAACCGCCAAATCCCTCCAAAACAAAACACAACGAACTCCTCCCGAAACTCCGAACGTCACAAGGAAGAACTGTATCGTTGTTGCACACACCTTTATCATGTATATTTTAAACTATCTTTTTTTATATTTGTATTAAACACTTACCGAGAGCTTTTGCTCGCGCTTCTACCACCAAGTAAAGTTACAGTGGTTCGACTTTAGCGGCAAAAATATGACGTCATTGCACAAGAACCCTATTGGTCAGCACGCCACAGATAGCCAATCACAGAGTAGAAATATGGAAGAGGCGGGACAAAGATGTCCACATCCTCGGAAGTATCTAAAATAAATATATTTTTAATTAAATGTAAAGGTCCTGCTTATTTGTAGTTGTAAAAATTGTATTTAATTATTTAAGATGATTTACACTATATATGTTTGTTCTATGGTCTTGTATATGTTGCTTAAAGCATAATAATACTACAAAAAAACATATATATATATATATATATATATAATAACCCTGACAATAGGTGATTACTACGTTAAATAATACCAAATATGCAGTTTAGAATTTGATGAAAAAAGTACTAATTAATATAGTTAAAGAAAATAAACTATTTATTAAACGGTTTTTTTTTTGTAATGCTTCCCTTTTGTATATAACCACTACAGTTAGTGAAGCAAAACCATAGTTCATTTGTTGTTAGATGGATTTAACTGCAACAACAATTTTTTAAATCAGTTGTCAAACGACTTTTACTTAAATTTAGCTTAGTTTAATTTTAAGTTACTATTATTTATTTATTTATTTATTTATTTAACGTTATTTACTGTATTTTACTGGTTTGCTCTAAATGAATCGTGTACACGAACTCAACACAAAAGGACAAAAATGTATTTAAATAAGTGGAAACTGAAGTAAAGAATATAAATAATAAAGATATCAGAACAGAGGGGGGGGGGGGGGGGGGGGGTTCTTTGTATAAAGGATTAGTGTTGTTTTTATAAAGGATTGTTCACTCAAACTGAAAATTCTTTCTGTCATTAATTATTAACACCCCCGTCGTTCCAACCTTCAGAACACACATTTAAATATTATAAAATATATGACATAGCAATTGAATTATGAGAATGGCTATATCATGATGAACAGTGCTTTATAATAACAATAATAATTCCTTACATTTCTATAGCACTTTTCTTGGCACTTAAAGCGCTTTAAACATAAGGGGAATCTTCTCATCTACTCTTTCATTTTTTTTAATGCAAGAAAGAACATTACAAAGATATAATATGAACAAAGAGACAAAGAGGGTTACATAAATAGAATTCCAGCAAATTAAACAAGTTTAAATGATTTACACTAAGAAAGCGTTTTAAATGCAGTGTAATTGTTAGAGTCTTTTAAAGAGTTCACATAAATTTCAAAGTCCTTTTTAAAAATAAAAAGTAAGGGAAAATTTTGAAAATTTACATTTATGGATGTAAAATTTTGTTTAAAAAAAGCAATAAATCAATAATAAATTTACAATGAGAAGGATCTACACTCAGAGAGTAACCAAAGAATACAATGTTTGGGTATTGAGTACAAAATGAGCATTTAGGGGAAATATTGTTATTTAATTTAGCTAGTTTGGTATTTATTGGGTAGCAATCTCCTCATCTACCACCAGTGTAGCATCCACCTGGATGAAGCGACAGCAGCCATTTTTCACCAGACCGCACACCACAAAGAGAGAAGACAGAGTAATGAAACCAATTATGATATGGGGATGGTTAGGAGGCCATGATGATGGACAGAGGCGAGTGGGTAAATTTGGCCAGGATGCCGGGGTTAAACCCTTACTCTTTTTCGAAAGACATTCTGGGATTTTAGGGTATATGCTGAAGCATGCTAATAGGACTTTTAATTTGCCAATAACTTGGGTTAAGCGCTTCCGGCGAACTGTATGCCAAAGGAAAAATCTGCACGTCTTTAAGGTCTGTTTTCTTTAAAAATCAGCGATCTCCACTGGCTGAGGAATATCCGATATGAAGTTTGTTTCAGATTGTACTAGAAGCACTGCATTAAATTACATTCCCCCGCCATGTCTTTATAATATGAGCATTTATTTTAGTTACCCCAGTATATCCTGCCGATTCTGACGGGCGAACAACTAAATGAATGCCAACGTTTATTTAACTGAATGTATTTTAATTACATTACAACATGAATGCTGTAAAAGGAACCGTATAAAATGGAAAAAAAAAACTCACAATAACTGGTCACCGGAAGTTTATAAGTATATGGGAACAACACTAGCTCGGCATATACCCAATTTTATTAATCTGTCTCCATATTCTACTGCATCCCAGAATATAACACAGCACCAAAAATGTAAAAAATATATATTGAATATATTTAATATATTTTTGTGTACGGCAGACGGCAACTCGCGTGACGCAGATTCCAGAGTCCGTATGCTCCAATCAGGTGAACCCTCTTCAGCGCTCGCCATGACAACGAGACAGCAGTGACGTGCCTTGTAAAAATTTGCATCTGCGCTCCTATAAAGCTCGTGTGCTCTCTAGCAGCGATGTCAGTTCGCTCGGTGTTGCTGTTTGTACTTGACCAAGGTGAGTTCAATACCGACGGGTACGAGTGGAGCCACGCCAATCTCACGAAGTCCGCTTCATGAAGCTTCACTCGGTCCCGTCTGTGCTGTAGTTCCTTGTGGTTTGCGTACATAAACGTAACATCGCAAGGAATATTACGTGTTTGTTGCTCGAAATGTGCCGCCGAGCAACATCCAGTAAATACTGGCACGGCCTGGCGCCCGGTCTTCTCGTGCACTCCCTGGGGCGAGGCGGCCTTTGAGCCCTAGGCAGGGAACAAACAACCCCCGAGGACCCTCAGGGAAACACGGGGGGCCGGTAGTGGGACCTCGCTGCCAGGGTTATGGTGGGTGGGAGTAGCGAGGCCCACTCATCGTCTATTTTAAACTATAGTTTCAAACTTTAGTTTACTATTGTTTGAAATAGACACCATGGTAACTGTTATGATTTAACTTTATGCAAAGAGCTTAGAATGACCAAGAGCAACAGCCCCCGATTCCGCCATTTTTAAGTGAAATCGATCGGCCGTCCATTGGATCTCATTGCTGTCGCGATGTAAAGCAGCTGCTTTGTTTTTATTTAATTATTCAAAAAGCGCGTTATTGTTTCCAAAATTGTAGAGTGTCGCCTCTTGGTGATTCTATGCTCTTTGCTCTTTGTCTGACTGTTGTAATGTTTTGCTTTGTTTTTCAGCTAAGCTGTTGAGCAAAGAAGGACTATTGAAGACAACAGTTGAAGACAACCGCGGGTTATATTCACGAGCGCGCGCGTTATAATGTTTTCGGAAAGTTTGTCTTGTTTGCATGTCAAACTAAATAAACTATACTCTTTCTAAACACCTGTCTCGTGTTTTATTTGTCCTCTACATCAATGCACTGTCTTGTCTGTTGAATGCATTTGTATGCAACATGGTTTGACAATACAGTAGTCTAACAAATAAATGGTTGTTATAAATGTACCTTCATTAGTCAACATTTGGTGTGGGTAATAAAAAGTTAATCAAAGATGTCCTAAGACATAAGGGTTATGTTATGGCTGTTTCATAACTATATTTATTATTATTCTGTAGGTTTAAAACCAGCAAATTATACTATGTATTTAAAATGTCATGAACCTACTGTTATTTTAAAATTTGCTTAATAAATTTTCCTAAGACAAGAATGGGTGTTTTGGTTTTATGTCAACCTACAGTAGGATTGAGGTTGACTACAGCAGGTATAGGCAACACACATCATAGGGAGTTTTTTTAATGACCCAAAATCAAGTAAAACGTCTCTTATTCAAGTACTTTTAGCATGCAAAAGTCAAATTTAAGTATATAAAATACAGTTTCCAACAACAAAATTTTGTCTTGGGAAAAAGACCAGTGTGGTGGTGAGGGAAAAAAAAGTAATGTCAAGTTATATATATATATATTTATAAAAGAAGTTGAACAAGTTGTCATAATATTTAGTCATTAGATTATGTGACCGCTAGATGGCGCTCAATTAAAAGGAGCGAAACTATATTGTTATTACTATTAAAACGTAGCCTATATTACTGCCTTAGGCCAGTAACTTAGGCAGTAATGCAAAGTAATAATAAATGTGAATAAATAGACTAAATGAAAGAAACAAGAGACCAAAATCAGTCACCAGGTCTAGTGCCTCCTTATGGATTTAAAGTGCCCCTCAGTTTTGACTTCCTGGCGCCGGGCCTGTATCAGAAACAAATATACGCTTTCTGAAAAATACATGCATAAAATAACTTTCTTCTAAATGTTTAGATTTGCTGAAGCGTCACGGGGGTGGTGCTGTGATTTGTGTGTGTTTCGTCGCTGCTCGTTTCTAGCGCTGGGTGGAGCGCGTGACTCTCCGTTCCGCTCCGCTCCAGGATTTGACGTGTCGTCTGTGTTTTTCTGCACTTCCTGCTTCCTCCATGACTGTTTTGAGCCAGCAGTCGCGTCCGAAAGCTGATCGGTAGGAATCGTTAAACGTGGCAATGGTGTGAAGGTGCGCGTTCGGCGACGGTGTGTGAGATTGTGAGCGAAGCCCGAGCTGTAATCACTGTCAGCCATGCAGTTTTCTCCCACCAACGGAGATTTTACCTTCGTCTCCTCGACGGACGCTGAAGGTACACTAGTTAAAGGCCCCAAAGCATCCACACAGCTGATAACAAAATCAGGCTTATGTTAAAATGCTGTTGGTGTTATGTGTGTGTTGCGTGTATGATGTATATTGATTAATATGTGTACTTCAGTTGTTAGTCTTTTTAATTAATTATGACATGACTTGTTTTCTGGGCTCGATAATATGATATGGTCGTCAGCTGTTTTAATGTATTTGTCTACATTTATATATTAATATATAAAATTCAGTTTAATTTAAAACAGATTTATAATAATACATTGGAAATTAATAATCATTTGTGTAAACCGCATCAAATATGCGACCAAATCAAGTTTCAAGCTGTTCAAAAACAGTAGAGTAATTGTGTAGAGTTGATCAATTCTTACATGAGTTAAGTTTAGACACAGTAGTTCTACAGAAGACAGTAACGTTAGTATCAGTAATCTGCTCACTTCTGTCCCACGTTAATTCAGTTTAGTGCCATTGTTGACAAATTCATTTTATTTAGTCACTGGATAAAAACCATAATGTCACAATCCAGCTGAAATCAGAACACGTTTTACAGTTTAAGCATAATTTATTTATTTGTTTGTTTCTTAGTTTTTTGTCTATTTTGACATGAATGAAAATGAGACAGTAAAAAATAGAATTACAACCTTTAATAGATTGCTTTAGACGTGTTGTTTAACAAAATAGTTTTTCCTCTGTCAATGAAAAATCTTTCAAAAAAAGAAAATCTATTTTGAGTAGACAAAAACAGTTTTGAAAATTGTGATTTGTTAAAATAAATATAGGACTGTAAGTCTCTCAGACTTTTTTTTTCATTCACATTTAATTAGAAAAGTTATATATATATATATATATATATATATATATATATATATAATTCTGACAGTGTAATAACCTTGGACAAAAATATCACGGTTTCACAGTATCACGGTATTGTGATTACTGCTCTAAAATATATTCTTTTTAAATGTCTGAATAAAATTTTTTTCACTTTTGAAAACAAAATATTTAGTTTTTCGACAGATTTAAAGTATTTTGGAGCAGTAAACATGTCAGGCTAAATAATTCAAATGAACCATTGACTTCTGGTGTCTTCACTAGTTTTAAAAACACAGATTTATTTTACAATTTAAATGGCATGTTTAAAGATCTTTTCTGCTGGAGAAAAAGTTAAAAAGAAATCTTACACATACGGTATAATAGAAAGTTTTAAAATCTTGAGTTTTCCAAACCGCGGTATACCTTGAAAACGGTTATTGTCTCATGCCTAGCATTGGTAATAATAACTAACTCCTATAATGTGACAGAAATTAAGTAGAAAAAAAACCCTGACATACTTGCATTCATCTCTGCTGAAAATTGTTTTTGATAATTTAACACAATCTTTCATCCACCAGAGCTCAGCGGCACCATCGATGCACCAGATATCACACTAAATATGGGCCCGGAATCCAACCGGGACACCTATGCCACCACTTTCCTGAGGCAGAGGGGTTACGGATGGTTGCTGGAGGTGGAAGAAGAAGAATCAGAGGACACTAAACCACTCCTGTGAGTATTTGGGACTCTGTGACTGCTGCTTTCACTGGTTGTATTTAGTGCATTCTTCGCACGGCTGCTGAAAATTCTTGACAGTGATTGAAAATCCTTGAAAGATCCTTGGCAATGCTTGCATTTCATTGCAGTGTGTTCAAGGTTTGAAAAGTCCTTAGATGCCTGAAACTGCTTGAAAATATGTTTGCTAAATATGTATTAATAATGAACTTCTTTAATTCAAAATACAAGAAAATGTATTTTTGCTTTTTCATAAAATTTAAAAACTGGGGTCTGCATGGAAATTCCCCCTTAAAGAGTGAAGTGATGCATGAAATTAAAATTAAAATAAATGTAAGATGTGAGTAAATGGCATTTAAGTTAATAGCATTTTTAAGAGAGTAAAATGAATGTTGTGCAATAAAGGCTAACATATCATCAAAACTGTTATATGTAATTTGCTTCATATGCTTAAATTTAAATTTGGAAGTTAGAGCCTTGTTATTGATTCTGTGTGTTTGTGCAGGGAGGAGCTGGACATTGATTTAAAGGACATCTACTACAAGATCAGGTGTGTGTTGATGCCCATGCCCTCACTGGGGTTTAACAGACAGGTGGTGAGGGACAATCCTGACTTCTGGGGCCCCCTGGCTGTCGTCCTGCTATTCTCTATGATCTCCATCTATGGACAGTTCCGGGTGAGACACAAGTTTCTGTGCATGATTATACCCGTGATCTTTGTGTAAATAGACTTCTAGAAGAAATGCTAAATGGATTGCCGTAGATTGTAAGCTTGTGAAATTGTATCTTCAGGAACATGCAAATAAAAGAAATTGTTTGGGCTTCTAAAGGTAGTTCTCATAATCAAGGTTTATACAATCATGAAAAACCGGGAAAAGTCATGGAATTTTGACATGGCATTTTTCAGGCCTGGAAATTTTTTTGGAAAAACTGAAAACCCACAAAGTTTTGGAAAAGTCATGGAAAACTGATATCTGTATTCTTGTACATAGGTTATTTACATCTTTTCTGTCCTTGGGCAATCACATATTCATATTATTTGTGTGGTGTAAGCATTATCTAAATCTGTTTTACATAGATATAAACATAAATTGAAACTAAATGGATCGTTGCATGTTTTACGACATGCTGTAATACATTTCTACATGCATTGTTTTTCATTTACCTCGCATATGTAGACATTGCATGAAACATTAAGTCATGAAAATTTACTTGAAAGTTTTGAAAAAAAAAACATGGAAAAGTCATGGAATTTTAGTAGTAAAAATTTGTTTGAACCCTGTATAATGTCTGTTTTAGGGTTGGGTGATGTCGACCAATGTGGCATAGTACGATGTCTAATGTTAAACATCACATTGGACGAAGGCATTGTTGTAGTAGGCAGCGGTGAATTAATTATTTATGAATAATTTATTAATTCATAATGAACTAATCATTTGTAACCTACCATTTCAACTACCTGACCCACATGGTCTATGTTTTACCCTTAACCAAATCATAAATAAATACAAATAAATTGCAGACAGATTACCACCTGTCAATCATTTTTTTCTGCGGAACTCTGGCATGATGAGGCAGAGTAATCTGTGTTATTATAATGGCGTTGACAAACTTGGTCGGTAAAAAAGGTGCACAACACACAGGAACCAACCAACAGCATCTGAGCTTTCCGCTAAAATTACTAAGAACAAGCGTGAGAACGAAAGATTGGAGCAGTGTACTGACGCTGTGACGCATTACCTGATAGATTCAAAAGAGAAGAGTCGTTAGATAGAGACGAGATTAATTAAATATCACGTTTAACAATATATATATATATATATATATATATATATATATATATATATATATATATATATATATATATATATATATATATATATATATATAATGTATGCACTATACATAGTGTATAGTGTTATATATAATATATAGTGAGAAGTGATTCAGTGGTGCATCCTTGATAAACTGTCCGATGTGCACCGCTCTCTGGGATTTTGCTGACTGCCTGGAGCTCAGACGAGTGCATGACCGTGTGTCTGTGTAATTGGTGACGTGATGTTCGTTTTCGGTGGTATAGTGTTAAAGGAGGGCTGTTCAGAAAGGCCAGCTAAATGCCAGTGTGGACGGAGATCATTTTTGTTCTAAAATGTCATTTTAAAACTAGGATGTATTAGTGTAAACGATGTCTAAGTGTATTTTTCGTGATTGGGTTTCCAACGGGGGCGGGACGGAGGATTGGGATACTGGCTCAGCATCGTGATGTAAAGTATACGGCAATGGACAATGGGCGATGGGCGATGGCGTTGTCTATCGACCCAACCCAATCGTCTATCGACCTAGTCTGTTTAATGTGCCATGATGAATTGATTTCTTGGAATTTGTGTATTTTTTTAACTAATATTTATGGAAGCTTGTTTCCGGCATGAAAACAGTTTATTGCATGCTTATGCTTGTAATGGTTTCTTATTTTATATTAATGACAAAATATTTCACTCAATTTTGAGTTCACCTCTTGACATTTTAGCTTTTTTTCTTTTTTTTTGTTTTTGTTTTTGTTTTAAGAATTTTGAGGTACAAACTCTATTAAAAGCAAAGTATTGCAATATGTAAACTCACAATTGCAAGAAAATCAGATATATTCCAAATTATCTATATATTTTTTTCTTTGGTGAGAACAAAAATTCTGTATCTATTTGTTAATGTATTTAAATTAATAAGAGTTTTTACAGTGTGACAACCAGTTGAGGATTAAGCGTTCATTTGTAAACTATTATCACACTTATACAACTTTATACTATGTTTTGCAGATCTGAAATTCTTTAGTATTTTTCATATGTCAGTTTGATTATTTAATTACTCAACAATAACTGTATCCCTTTTTGTTCAATCAGGTTGTTTCCTGGATTATTACAATCTGGATATTTGGGTCATTGACAATTTTCCTTCTTGCAAGAGTGCTGGGTGGAGAGGTATTTATTTGATCTCGTAAAGCATCAGACAACATATGATTTTTGAGTAGGTGTGCCCACATTTCAATTATTACATTTTTCCCCAAATAGGTATCTTATGGGCAAGTGCTTGGAGTTATTGGCTATTCTTTGCTCCCATTGATTGTAATAGCTCCGCTTCTTCTGGTCATCGGGGGATTTGAAGTAGTCTCTACACTCATAAAGGTAAAGAAAACAAATGTAAACACAGTAATAAATATAAAGTGAGAAATTAGTTCAAATACCAATTTTCCACTATTAACTAGTGGCTTATTAGTACATCCCTAGAGCTGCACGATTCCGGCTAAAATGAGAATCATGATTTTTTATTTGTTTAAAATAAAGATCACAATGTTCTCAAAATTCTGTAGATGTAAAATAAAGGTAATATTAGGCTATTATTACTGTTATTTCTCAAACATATATGTATAGGTCTACTGTTGGTTAAAATGAAAAATTTTGTATAGGCTTGGAACAGTGGACTTGAATAGACTGTAAATATGTCCTAGTCGTTAATGCACAGTAAAGTGATCACATCAGAATACAACTATTCATAATTCTGTCACAGCTCATGGTCCGCTCTTGTGTGATTTTGCCACCACGAATATGTCATTACATGAAAACAGATCTTAAAATTGGGTGAATTATACCTTATAAATACAATATGCAGACTCCTTTTCACCATCTGGAGGTGTCAACATGGCTGAGAAACCTATATAAAACAATGTGAAGACTTGTAAAACCCTCTATATGCTAATATATTTGGCTGAGTTGTAGAGATGCTAGAATTAGATTGTGTGAGGGGTCGAAACGAGATCACAATCTTTTTTTTTTATTAATCATGCATCCCTAATCCAAAACCTAACTACTACCTTAAAGGGCCATAACATCCCCCACTTTTGGTTCAAGTCTACCTCAGAATTTAAAAAAAAAAAAAGCATCATAATGGGCGTGGAGTTCCGCGATCAGAGACAGGAGTGCGCGTGGCCGGCAGAGCAGGGGAGAGGGTCGAGAACAACTGTTGCCAGTTAGCTCACATAATGAGACACAAACCGTGAGAAGACACGTGATTTTATAGTTTACAAAGTTAAATGCAAAGAAAAAAATAGTAATTTAATGCCCTGCTACATTTGTCATTTGTAATTTCATATACACACAACCACACTTTATATCATTATAAAAATAATTCGAGAGGGTGCTCGCTGCAGAGCCATTTGAGGAGAGCTGAGCTCCAGCGAGGGGCAGCATGAGCTGTCGCTCCTCCTCCTGTAAGCTGTTTTAATGCATACACCAACCCCACCCCTAACCCTACCCCCAGTGACATCACTCGTAGAAGAAGTGCAAAAAAGGTGGAGCTCAAGCTTAAGCTCCCCCTCGCTGGAGCTCAGCTCTCCTCAAATGGCTCTGCAGCGAGCACCACTTGCCTCAATCCCCTGGTCTGAATGCAGATTCAGTGTAGCAGGTCTCTTGCACTGCCTATTTCAACACTTAGCCCTGCTGGTAATCTGGAGGATTTAGGGGAACACAGCAGCACGGCGATGTGTCTAAATGTGATCGAACTTCACTGATAAAGGACAAAGTCCGCCATTCTCCGCCATACTTGTACTGCTCTCCCAAAAAAAAAATGCTTACTGCACACAAACAGCTTTGCTGTATTGGCTCTGACAGGATCGTGTGGAAAAAACATGCAACAAACCCCGTGGATCATGGAAACAAACACAAACGACCCTTCATGAGCAGCTAAATACTGTGTGCCATGGGTCAGTGGATGCGGTCTCACCCAGTCATCAACATAGGCTCTCACAGCTTGGCACTGGCAGGTCTCTCTTGGCTTTGGAAAGCACGCGGAGTCATGAAGAAGCATAGGATCTTCTCATAGGATAAGAAAACTCTGCTATGAATAATAATGAGAAACCGTTGCGTCATCTTTGCACTTGCAGTTTTGCAGTACATCACTGATTTTGATCCCGCCCCAAAAATCATTCTAAACCCGGAAAATGAAATTAGCTGACAAAAGCTCCAAATTTTCCAGTTTTCCTCACAATTAAAGCTGACAGGTGCTAACATTGTCTTAACTGATGCTCAACACACAAAAATCTGCTAAAATCTCAAAAAAAGTACTCGAGGGTTTCTTGAATCTTTAATAACGATTTTATTCATAGAATTTTATTGAATATTCATAGTTAATCCTTTAACAATAGTGAGAAATGTGCCTTAAAATAGAGTGTGATCAAATGTTTGTCTGTATGGAGAACAACTGTATTCAATGCAAAAAAATATGATCTGTTTGTTTTCTAGCTTTTTGGAGTATTCTGGGCTGCGTACAGTGCTGCTTCGTTACTCGTCGGTGATGAATTCAAAACGAAGAAACCCCTCCTCATATATCCCATCTTCCTTTTGTACATCTACTTCCTGTCTCTGTATACTGGAGTCTGAATTGACCACAGGCTTTGATTGGCTCGTTGCTTGGACATTAACACAGAGCACTGTGGAGAGTTGCACAGCAGGGATATTCCATGAAGACCGAGGAGGAGTTTGCATTTTCTCGCTTTCTTTTACCTTGTTTATAGTCCTATATGCTTTGGGGGGGGTCGAGGTGTACAGACATTAGTGTATTTAACTGCTTTCATTAATTTTGTACACAATAAAAAGCTGCATCTTTTACTGTGGAAGCTGTATTTGCAGAGGTTACTCTGCCATTGAAATGTGGAGCCATGGTTTTACATAACAATTACAAGCACCAACAGGAAAATAAAAATGAAAACTTTATATTGTAAAAGACTATTATAAGCATGATAAATCATGTAACAGAACTTGTGTTTTCCCACACATAATGGTGAAAACTTTACGAGTTAACCAGTTTATGATAGATGGATATTTTTTGTTGTAGAGTGAGCCAAAACATTCACAGATTCCATTTGTTTTTAATTTATGAGTTCCACATGGGGAAAGAGAGTGTGCAGGCAGTACTGCTTGGATTAAAAATGTCCGCTAAGTATGGGTGCCTTAAATTGGTTGTTTTATATGGCTGTGGTGTATTTTATTTATGTAAATGTAGCCAAAAAAAAGGAAAGGAATTTTTATTTGTAGATCATGCAATTGAAGACAACTTTCTACCTGGTGATGTGTACACTGCAGGCATATGTTACCGTATTAGTATAGCTAAAATAATGGAGTATGAAAATTGTTATAATAAACATCATGAATCAAATTAAAATCTGTTGACACTGTAATTACACTTTGTGTTGTGAATCTCTTTAATGTCTAGGAACAATGATATTTAATTGGGTGATTTATTATTATTCATTAGGATGTTTGCTTACAGGTTAAATGCTTTAACAGCAAGTGATTTTTTATAATATCCCAATGATACAAAGTAGATGACACAAGAGCACTGTCTCTTCAATTTACTTGTGTTAAGAGAAAAAAATATTATTCAAGTGCTGCATTTAGAGCCTTGCTGACCAGAATGTCTTTCCTGAATTAAGTATAACGGTGAGAGTAATTGCTAAACACATTTACAGTAAAACTATGTACAGTAGTCAGCATTTGAAGTGGATCGAACTGTTTTTCAGATAACACTACACTAAAAAAATGTACATATATATTTTTGCTACTTATTTAAAATAAGCTGAATCAGCACAATGCTTTAGATTTCATTGGGACAACTTATTTTTTATGTTTAATCCACATAACTTTAAAGTGTTAAGTTAACTTAATTGATTTGCGTTGGGACAACATGAATGAATTGTGTGGAAACATGCATTTTTTACTGTGTAGGTCACATTTCATGCTGTTAACTATTGGTGTATTACCTGCTTATTATTAAGATATTAGCTGTTCATTAGAAGTTACAACGTATGATTTTATTTTACATCCATAATCCTATGAAAAAACCGTACAAAAGCATGCACGTTATTTTAGCTGGGTGCTCAGGCAAACACTAAAAAGAGCAAAGTATATATTCAAAAAGGCGGCAACACCAGTGCTCCAATAATGCCATTTTTTAAATTAAAAAGACTGATACAATACAAGCCTTGTATTAGCCTTTTAGATGTAATTAATTCATTTATTCATTTTCTTGTCAGCTTAGTTTCTTATCCCAGTGTCTCCTTTATTAATCCGGGGTCGCCACAGCAGAATGAACTGCCAACTTATCCAGCAAGTTTTTAAGCAGCGGATGCCCTTCCAGCCGCAGCCCATCTCTGGGAGGCATCCACACACACTTTCACACACTCACACTACGGACAATTTAGCCTACCCAATTCACCTGTACCACATGTCTTTGGACTGTGGGAGGAAACTGGGAGGACCCGGAGGAAACCCACGCGAAGGCAGGGGGAACATGCAAACTCCACACAGAAACGCCAACTGAGCTGAGGCTCAAACCAGAAACCCAGCGACCTTCTTGCTGTGAGGCGACAGAACTACCCACTGCGCCACTGTCTCGCCTCTTTTAGATGTAATAAATCGGCATTTTTGGATCTTAAGTGTCACCGCCATTTTGAATATACAACCATAATCTTACCCAAAACCTAAACCCAACTATTACGTTAAAATTGAGCAGTTAATTAGTAGTTTATTAAACTAGTAGTGTGTGTAATAGTAGTAGTTAATGGTTTGTTTACACAATGAATTGTGACCTGAACTAGAGTTACCGTGTTAAAGTGCAAGACTAGAATGTTTAATAGTTTTATGAAAGTAGCTTCTAATTAAAGGTTCTGATCCACTTCAGTTGTTGATTACTGCAATTGTTTTACATTATATTGAAGCTAAATACTTCATGTAGTTTATTCTTATCCATGTGTCTCCATTTCAAAATATCTATCTATCTATCTATCTATCTATCTATCTATCTATCTATCTATCTATCTATCTATCTATCTATCTATCTATCTATCTATCTATCTATCTATCTATCTATCTATCTATCTATCTATCCATCCATCCATCCATCCATCTATAGCGCCCCTGGAGGCTCGGAGGGCGATCGCAAGGCGACTACGCCAGTTCCGTTTCCCTGCTGAGTGTGTTAGCAGAAGGAGCCGCTGGTTTCCGCTCCGCTGATGGTGAATCGCTGCTCCTGCGGTATCGGGAGGAGGTTTAGAGCCCGCAGTGGAAGCGCAGCGGTACTTCGGGATTCAGCTTTATCATTTTCTCGTCGAGTCGCGTCCACGTACGAACTACTGAAGGAGGAGGGAAGGCAGGAAGGGAAGATAGCAGGAAGATGGCGGCGGCGGCGGGGGCCTTGCCAGGCTCGCCGGACTGGGTCGTGCTGAGGGACGGCTGCCTGCGCTGCGACGAGGAGGGCCTGCGGAGTTTGTCCTACCACCCGGCCCTCAACGCCATTCTGGCCGTCACCAGCCGGGGCAGCATCAAAGTCATCGACGGCACCTCCGGGGCTATTTTACAGGCCTCGGCTTTGCACGGTGAGTTGCGGCTCGGACAGGGTTATCCAGGCCGGTCTGGATCATAGCTTATCAGATCACCGCTGGATCTGTTTGTAGATGAGGTGTAACGTTAAAGTATGCAAGGTTCTTTACTCGTGATGGAGGAGGAGAGTGTCAAAATGATGTTGATAGATTCTTCTGACGCTGCGGTGTTGTGGTGGTAATCACTTCTCTCTATTTGGACTCCCAAAGGAGGACCGTGTCAAAATGCTCTGGCTCTTTTGGGGCTTGCTGATGGAAAGCTCGTGCGATCAATTCTAGTTTGAAGGATTGTATGAAAATAATCGTCATTTATATTATATTGTGTTTTAACATCGACTAAGTACTATAAAGGAATGGCCCACTTTTATGGCTGTTGATTGGTGTATGCGATGACATAAAAGGTTTTGTGAGAATAATCGCGCACTCTTGATGGAGTTGTTTTGACAGTCATCCCTCTCAGTCTTTGGGCCTCCTGATGATCCTCTCCGTTTAGGGCCTCTTAGATGTGCCGTTCTGCCGGATAACTGTAAACATTGCCACGTTATTTACGCATCCACGCGTTGTGAACATTTCATTACAGTTCATCCACGTTACATGTCACTTGTTAATTATGTCAAATAAAACTAAATCAAGACACGAACCAAAGTCTGATATGATCTTAGAGTAAAGCGGCACTAAAGCTAATCTAAACATTAGCAAATAACGTTACCCCCTCGTTTAGATGTGTGTATCTCTCTTACTTGGTGCCACTGACATCCAACTATTATAGCACTAAATTCAAATGATATGTAGTGCTTAATAGCATATGTTTTAACTGTCGCAGTAAACATTTTATTGATTTTTGGATCTGATTTAGCTGACAGAGGTTTAGCTAATCACGCTAACGTTAGCTTAGCGGTAGCCTAGCCTGCCTGCTACAGATCAGTAACACTGCTTCTGGTTATGTCAGCCTTGACAGGTGACAGCTGACTAACGTTAGAATATTTGCGCATAACATGAATATTCATGTTTATTTTTCTTCTTTTTGTGAACATGGATGTATGTAGTTTGGGAAGGCTTGTGTGCTTTTTCTGACGTTTTGTTGTTAAACGTCATTTTGGACTTACGTGTGTGTGGTGGTATTGTTATTGTAGTATGCACGTTATTGACCTTGTCAGCCTGTATTCGCGTGTTTATCTGTAAATCTGTTTGTTAAATACGCAATTTTAAGCATACATAATTACAATTTAGTTATGCATTGTTTCCTGGAGCAGTAATAACCAGTAAGCAAATACTTTGAACAGACTCTTTTCTTTTTAGAGATTCATTCAATATTCCTTTAAAAACAGATGCAACATTTAATGAATATGGATTAGCTTGTTATTATATTATAAACTGCTCATGTCCGGCTCATTAACTGTCACAAAATGAGTTTGCATCTATAAATCTAAAGCTTAACATTTTAATTAAAGTACAGCTGGACAATAAGGGCCTTTAACGGGTTTCTGTTCAAAGTCTTCGAAGATCTTCTGTCAAATGTCTCAATACTTAACCATTTGTGAATGTAGCTTGTAAAGCCATTTATGTACAAACTCTTTCATAGGTTTTAAGTAGGGCTGGACGATGTTGGAAAAATCTGACATTGCAAAAATTTGTTTGGCTACGATATATAATGCAATGTGAATATAATTTCACCAGAGGATTTAAACAGCTCTACTTGGAAAGATTTCATTAGCTTGGATCAACTGGGAGTCTTTTTCTGCATAACTTATAATAATTTACAATCAAAAGTAATAAATAAACAGTGCTTTATGAATTTCTTTGGAGTCTAACAGTATTTAAGTACAGAAATTAAGCAATCTAATGTAAAACAGCATGGTCATCGTTGTATAAATAATGATAAAATTATAATATCTATCTATTAATCTGTCATAAATAATCTAATCCTGTGATGTGACTATTGCAGATACACATATTGCGTTATTGATGCACAAATGAAATATTGTTCAGTAAAGATTTTTTGTATTTTACAGCTGAGGTTGTAAAAGTTGCAATTTGTCTAGGTTTAACCTGAAATCGCCACTGACCATCAGAGTCTAATTGGAATTGTTTCCAGCAAAGCAGCAGCAGTTCAATAGTGTATCCGTACGTTCACACCGAAAGCGGCGAGAGCGTCTAAGGTCGCTCTGGCCGCCCTGGCGACAACGCTGTCTGCCTTCAGCTCCGGCGGTGAGAGCGTCAAAACTCGCTACATTGATCTCGTATTTAAAGGAGCCGTTGCAGCATATCAGTTACATTCCTGCATAAGACATGTTTTTAGCGTGAAAATGTTGCGCAATTTTTATCAAATTCATATAACAATGGAAGATCAGGTTGCATGTGGTGTGGCTTTGCTTTATTTATCCAATATGTGTCCATATGTCTGAAATATCCTGAAGCAGCTATACTGTTTTGTACTGTCACATCGCGTGAGATTCCCGCTTTTTTTAAGATAAATTTATATAACATTAATGAACATCAGTAACTCGCCAGTAACTTATTTAATGTATGTTCCTGTAAGAAAACATTGTTAATAATTGGAAATCCGGCGACCGCAATAATCAAACCCTTGGGAACAACTGTGGTCGGAACCAAAGTTCACAGGTCTGTGTTCCCTGAACTGCTATCAAGCGGTGGACGTCTTCATTCTGATTGCTTGCCGCCGAACCGCGTCATAGCTCATTACCATAAAGTTGACTTCATTTCAACTCTCCTCGACACTCACGCCGGAGAAGACACGCTGCGCTGCTCCTCGCCGCTTATCGCC